GAATGGAAAACCAAAATCTCTGTAAATGCTCATTAAAATTATTTTTTAAAAAAAAGATTCATGTGTGACTGTACTGATTACTCAAAAATTAAATAGATCAAAATTAATAATAATAATTACACAGTATGTAAACTCTTTGTATTCTAGCTTGGTAAACCAAAATAAAAATAGTTCATTTTAAAAACTGCTACAGAATACTTTTTTAAAACTATTAATGAGGTTTATTATAATATATTAATCTAAAAGAAAAATTGCCATCACTCCTATGTACCTCAATTAGCTTTTGGTCTTGGGAAAAACAGTTAATGAGGACGGTATAAGTAAAAGAGAAAGTTAAACACCTTTGTAATCCTCCTGTTACTTACTTGGTTCAGCTAAAATCAAGGATTGGTTCCCTTCACTTAGAAGAGGTTTTTCGATTGTATTCAACTCATTCTCATCCTTTTCATTTTGTGAAGAATTCCTTACAGTTTCACTGGAAATAGGGCTCTCCAATGTTTCTACAGATGCACAATCAGAGGTGCTTTTGGAGTCTGTATTCAAAGCCGAATCATGATTACTAAGTATAGATGGTTTAATTAAATCACTTTCTATAGGTACTGGCGTAATTTCTTCAAGCACTTTTGGGTCCTCGTGATAGTTTTCACTTGACTTTTCGCACTCAGTGGGTATTGTAGAGTCATTTCCTTGTTCTTTCTAAATATAAAAAAAGAATACAGGAAAAGGGAAAATATTTCAAATGTCGTCCCTTAAAACAAGTTTTGAGGTTTGAACTCATAAAATTAATATAAAATTGACAATATTTTATCATCTCTATAAGGGGGAGCTCTAGTGATCTAGTGGTAAGAAGCTGCACAGCAATCCAAAAGGCACAAGGTTCAAATTCACCAGTTGCTCTGTGGGATAATGATGGAAATCTCATCCCATGTGACTTGCTGCATTTGAAAACCCACTAGAAGGTCAGTTATGAACAGGTTCCAACTTGAAAGCACACACCACCACCACCATTTTAACTTTAGAATGAGAAGATTTTACTTTTACATTTTTATTTTGCAAAGGGAAAAACATCATGTGACCAACTGACTGCCTTAGTAACAAAACCAAAAACCTAACAGGGAAGCAATACTAAGAGTCATGGAAATTAATAATTTCCTTCAAATTCTCTATTACCGTATATTTAGAATTAAGACCCAAAGTACTATAAAGTCCTGAAATGTTTTGTTGAATCAACAAATTAAAAGTGTATTAATAAGAAAAAGTGTATTCATACTAGTTGTACTGCTAATTATATAATAAATCTTTGAAAACAACTATATAATAAACCTTTCAAAATATTCTTTCCTTACAAAAAGGAAAAAGGTCTCCTAAACTCAGAAAAATGGAAGCTTAAAGAATTTGGCAAGCAAATTGCTTTTAATAAAAGTTATATGGTAATGAAAGCTTTAACTAGAATGATACCTGGCTACTGTCAACTCAAATTTTATAGCAAAAATTATGTCTTATAACATCGAAGTATTCCTACTTACTGTTTGTCCTCTTGATTCATGCAGAGCAGAAGCAGAATTATTAGCATCAGATACATTATTTCGAGGTTTTTTCTTTGACTTCCTGGAAATGAGAGTTGGTTCTATTTTTGGATCAGAAGTTGTATCATCCTTGTTTCTGTTCCTCTCTTCAGGATGGTCACAACCCTCACTTACACTGTTAAAGTCTTAAAAAATGAGAGATACATAGATATGGCTAAAAAGCGGCAAAAGAATCCCTGCTGCAGGGGTTTGAAGAAATATTATCAAAATTGCTGTAATACTTTCAAAACTCATTTTTAAAGAGTCTACTGTCAAAATTCTAATTCTGAAGCAGTAATGAATGCCAAAGGATACGCATTTTAAAAGTTATACATAAACATTCACAGTATAATAAATGTGAAGCAAAAAACAAAGTTTTCTTTAGTAGTCAAAGCAATGCATATAATTATTGGTTTTAGTATCATTTCATTTGCAATATATTTTAACATCTAAATAGAATTCACAAAATCCATGTCTTAAAAATGTTTTGTAATTTGTTGGGATTTTATAAATCTTTTAAAGATTATAGATTACATACCTATTTCATTACCTTAATGGAATCAATCCTGTGTAACACAAACTACTATACAAAAGGATCTAGGTTAAAATCAGCTAAGTGGTACCCTAAAAGAGAGATCCAGCAATTCATCTTTCAAAGATTACAGCAACTGAATCAACTTTATGGCAACTCTGAGTTCAGGGTTTTTGTACTGGTGAGGGTTTTGGGGGTTTTTTGGATATTAATGGTTGTTGTTGTTGTTATCTGCCGTCGAGTCATTTGCAACTCAAAGCGACCCTATGTACAACAGCCCTAAACCCTGCTCTATCCTGTGCCAATCGCATTGCCTCTGACACACCCATCCCGATTACCCCAGTCACTGACTCAATCCGCCTCATAGAGAGCCTTCCCCTCTTGCGCTGTCCCCTCCACCCTCCCAAGCATGATGTTCCTCTCCAAGGTCTATATTTGCAAAGAGAAAGTGCTGGTCAATGCTCTTTCTAGTCAAATTACCTTTCCCCAGCAGCTGACTGTGATATGTGATCCATCACAAGGCTATTAATTTGATTCACAGTTTGTTATTTCTTTTTATGCCTTGTCCTTTTGGCCTCTAATATGCTACCCTTCTGAGATCGTGAAGACGGTGCACAATAGGCAAGTTTCCAATTTGCTGTTTACAGAATTGCTATGATTCGGAGTCAACTCAATGGCATCTAACAACAACAGAGTAGAGTTCCCTTTTGAAAGTCAACAAAGAATCATTTTTGAAACCATGTCAATTATTACTAAAAATCATCATTAGTAAGTGTATCAGTCATAAAACATAAACATTGTCAAAAAAAAATCTTCCTGCGCAAGCCTAAGTAACTTGTTACCCTGAATTATTTGCTTTGAATTCGTATCAGTTTATACCTATAAATCTTCCTTAAAATCAGAATTTATAAATTCATCTAAAACTGGTTGAAGTAACTTCCTCTTCCATAGAGTAAAAGTTCTTTAACCCCAAATGTCTTCCTCAAATTATTCTTGCACTTATTCTAGCTATGGAGACATCTATACCTATCAGTTATGAAAATGTATCTTTGTCATGGCTCAAAAATCAGGTGATGGGGCAAAATTGGGGAAAGAACTCATAGGTTTTTAAATATCCAACAAAAGCACTCTTGACTCCCTCCCCCAAGAAAATCAATTTCTCAGAAATCAACACTATTATTTGAAAAATATATTTCATTTTATGTGTAAAATTGTGAAATGAAAAGGGACTCAAATACAATTTTTAAGCATAAATATTGTTATCAAATTACAATTTCTAACCATAAATACTACAGCTATAAATATGGGTGAATAGAAAGAGGCCTGAGAAAAACTATTATACAAGAAACAATTTACTGCTTACACACCAGCAAATCCTGTCTCCTAAGAAACAAGAATTTTCAACAATGAATGAATGGAATCCCAAAATCTCTGTAGATGTTCATTGAAATGAAAAATAAACAACCTAAATTTAAAAAAAAAAAGGAGAT